GGTGTTTTGGGTAGTTGAAGAGAAGGAATCCTTGTCCTGTTATCTGTTGTTTTCACCCCCTGGCTTTTAATAGCAGCACTTGTTGGACTCCTAGGTGCATTGCAGCTCTTAAAAACAGAAGTTGGACTCCGAGGAGGCTGCTGGCTTTTATAGGCAGAAGTTGGACTTCTAGGAGCCTGCTTACTTTTGAAACCAGAAGTTGGACTTCGCTGCTGGCTTTTGAAACCAGAAGTTGGACTTCGAGGAGGCTGCTGGCTTTTAAAAGCAGAAGTTGGACTCCGAGGAGCCTGCTGACTTTTGAAACCAGAAATTGGACTCCGAGGAGCCTGCTGAATTTTAAAACCAGCAGTTGGGCTTCGATGAGGCTGCTGGCGTTTAAAAGCAGAAGTTGGACTGTGAGGAGCCTTCATGCAGCTACCATTACCAACTTGATCATGCAATTTTGTGACATTATCTCCCTCTTGAAGCTCGCTAGATTTCTGTAAGCACACTACTTCTGGCTTATCATCTCGCTTGCTTGTGGTTTCTAATGATTTGATCTGTTCAAGGTTCTTACTGGCAAATCTTGGCCCTTCTAAACTTAATCTTCTCGAACGAGTTTTCACAGCTGGGGTTTTGGATCCCGTTTCATCATCAGCGTTGGCCTTTTCTACCCTCATGGTGGTGCAATTCTCTATGCTTAATCTTCGAGCTCGTGGAGTGGGTCTCTCAGCTATTGCTTTAGGCTTCTGGAAAGGTGTTCTTGCTGCTTCCTTTGGTTTGTTAATTTGCGGAGTTTGTGTTTCCTTGTTAGCCAACGCCTTTTTGAGGGTCTCAATCTACAGTAATTGGAGCAGTTGACAGGTAATGAATGATAATCCAACACTCTAAGCCCAAGAATTTTTTGTTTATTTTGTCTTATAACCCATCTTTTAAGTCACTGTATGCTTATAATCCATTTTTTTTTGTTTATTTTGTCTTATAACCCATCTTTTAAGCCACTGTATGCTTACAACCATATAATATCATGAAAATGAACGTGTTTTACCTCAGCTTTGAGTTCTAAAACTTCGTTGCTCTCTTTATTTAAACGAGCTGCACCAAGTTCCACACTCGAAACCCTCTGTGCAAACTTCAGAGTACTAACTGTTTCTCCAAAGGAATCCCCTTCAGGACTAACATGAGCAAACATCAATGTTTTTGCATGTCCACCTGAAAGACACCATAAAAAGCATTAGTAAAACTATGATGTTTCAAAGCCTAAATTCATATTTGACTAAATATTGTCTATATCAGTGATATGAGTTGCTATATCTGGAGCACGAAATCTTGAGCTAATTGAATAATTTATTGTACAAACCTAAAGAGTGCTGCAAGAGTAATGTGAGTTTGCTGTTTCTATAAGGGATGTGAGAATTCTTCTGTGCCAATGCTGTGATCACATCGCCCAAGCAAGAGAGAGATTTATTTATATGTTGTGCCTCTTTGAGGCCGTCTCCAGTAACTTCTGACTTGTCAACTCGTTCACTGCCAGCAAGATCAACCAAATGGAGGCAACTGTGTATTATGTTTCCAGATGTATCTTCACCATGCACATGTACAGTCAGCACACTGCAAGAATTTCATGTGAACATATATAAAACTTTAACATATTTTTAGACTGTCTCAATGGCAAGGGAATAGAAATAACTTGAATCCTCTTTAGTTAGCCTCACCTGTGTGAACGGCTACTGCGGTTGTTCATGGCAGTAGAGCCAACAGCACGGTTCAAGTCACCAAGTTTCATCAGGTTTATAACATCTGCAGCACAATTCACTAGATGCATGCTAGCATCAGGCAGAGGCAAACCGTTGCCACTCATGCAGGTTCTAATCTCTAAAGTATGAACAGTTAAGGACGCATTTATTTAATTTCCCCGCTTTGATTCATCTCAAATTTAACTGATGAAATAATGAAGTAAACTAGGGAATGATCAATGAAAGGATATTTGGTAAGTGAATGATCGTTTGCAAGAAGATCATGAATTTGTTCATTGTATATCTCGACCATTTGAACGTGGATCTTATAATTCATGATGTCCTTCCTTTCATCAGACAGTAGGAACAGATCATTCAGAGCCAATTGGTTGATTCCGAATTCATTTGATGATCCACCTCCAGGGCCAGACTGCCAAGAGAGAAGTATCAGATATGCATCTAGTGCAAATTCAACAAAAGAGATGATAAAAGTAGCTAACAGCATTGCAATTTACAGGAATACAGGGAATTTATTTATCTAAAGGCTCTCACCATAGTATATGTTTTCCCTGATCCAGTTTGACCGTAAGCAAATATGCACACATTGTAACCATCCATCACAGATCTTACAAGCGGCTTAGTGTCTCGAAATACATCTTCTGTAAAATTAAGCAGTGTTAGATAAAAAAAAATAATAGAAAAAGAAAATGGAAGATGTATCTTCAACTGTACTATGTAACAGTATCCATTACCCTGAGTGGCAGTTGGACCGAAAACACGGTTGAACTGGAAAATTTTCCTCCCATCTTTCCAGGATTTTAGTGGGTCAATTACAACCAAAGAACCACCTTCTCCAATAAAATCTATGGCAGTTTTTGCTTCTGCACTGAAGGCAGGCCTTATTCTGCAGTAAACTCGAATATTCCCTAAACAATAGATTAATACAGCAAGATTAGAGAGCTTTTGTATAATAAAACTTGATTCTAACAGGTACTTACAGGGATAACAATTCAGACTTTCACTTTCACTTTATATTCTGTGAGACTTTTCTCCCATCATAAAAAGAGAGATAGAAAGTTATTAAGCCATTAGTACATTTGTCGATGATATCATAGTTGAAATACCTTTTAGGTCCTGAACCATGTTATGCAAAGTTCTGTTTTCTTTCAGAACCTTGTGATATCCAAGAGCAGCATTAGACATCTCAAGTACTTGATCTCCTGAAACCATGATAAATCAAACCTCAATTTAGCTTTAAAATTATAGGAACAATTGTTGATATAGATATGTGAAATGTGACCTTACCAAGTTGCTTCAGATCACTTTGTAGCTGAGACTGCAGATCTTCAAATTCTCTTTTTGTGCTTGATAACAGGACCTTAAGATTCTGCCAGCTTAAAATATTAGTCATTCATGAGCAAAACAAGAAGGAATTTAGCAAATAAGCCAAGTGTTGAACCGGAAAGAATCTTGTGCAAATCAAAGCATCACAGCTAATTTGCTTGCAGACCACTCATGCTTAAGCTAAACAAGAATAGAAATGAAATATCTTAACACCTAATTCACTCACTTCACTAATATCGGATAAGTTCTTCGACAACCAAGGTACTATTTAGTACTCTCACAGTCTTCGACAGATTAAAACACTTTATGGTTCACCGTCATCAACACTTATTCGACTCTACTGCAGGAGACATTGTTCTGTTTAGGTCATCCAGCTACCTATGCTAGCACAAAAAGTGTTCGAGGGGAGTCACATTGTTTCCCAACTGAAGTTAGATTTTGGAGATGAGGGGACCGACTGACGTTAGTTTTTGGAGATCATGAAGTACCTAAAGGCCTTCACAATTCATGCTTGACTTTGTTCGTCTCTTACACCATCCACAGCCATTTTATGTATTTAGAAATCAGTTATTCATAAGGACCACAATATTTCTGACATATTTTTCTGAAACTCATGGGAAGAGGTGTAAAATCATATATGTTACTTCAGTATCTTAAGAGATTAACTCTTTTCAATGCTGATCAGAGAAACACTTGTGGCCATTGATAATCATGGACGAAACCAAGTGAAACATTCTTTTTAACATTCTTACTAGGAGAAATTACTATAGAAGCCTTAAACTTAAGTAAATAGTAAACTTTTATTTAGTTCAAAAAAGACTTACCGAAAGTTCCTTTTCATGCATTGTAACTAGAGTCCAGTGGTTGCAAGTTCCCTTCTTTATGCAAGCTCTGCAACACTGAAAACCAGGATTTATTTAAATTCTATGTTCAAGGTCCTGTTCATTTCATCATTTGACCTTTACACTAATGGAAATTACAGATTAAAACTAGACTGGAACTGTAGATGCTAACACTAAATACAGATTGACTTTTGTTCTCTCAAATAGTTTCCAGATACTACAGTAGTAAAATTTTCTTGACAAAATTCTTGTGTAAAAAAAGTAAAACACGCATGTAGTTTGATAATAGCACCACCACCACCAACAACAACAACCCAGTGTAATCCCACATACTAGGGTCCTGGGAGGGTAGAGTGTACGCAGACCTTACCCCTACCTTGTGAAGGTAGAGAGGCTGTTTGCGAAAGACCCCCGACAGTTTGATAATAGCAAGGTCGACAAAATTCTTTCCTATAGGTCATGACTTGATTGACATTTCTTCTCATCATACTCAAAAATAAAAGACTCAGATTCTTAACAAGTACTCTGATAGTTGCAAGATCGACAAATTGAATACTTCAGGTTCACAAATGGGGGAAAATGCTTAAAGTGAACTAAGCTTACCTCGCGGTTTCTAAGATTAGATAAATTTTCGAGGGGTATGCATGTGGTCATGGAGTTGTCTTCTGAGCAGCTCATCTCTTTTAAAGGATCTGATTTCAACTGCAAGTGGAGGAATAAAAGCTATATTATCTCAAGATCACTTAAACAGATAAAGAGGATAAAAAATGACAAGCCAGAAGGAAAATGATATCCAGATTTGACATTAGTTTACTGATCAATTTAGAAGCACAACAATAACAATTTCAAATATGGTTCTTGCATCTTTTGTAGGTAAGCTGCAATATAATCCAGCCTTTTCTTAAAGGTTTACTTTCAAAATATGAAGTTACAGATTCTGCCGAGCCAATTGTGTAGAATGAGGGATTCTCATGGAAAATAGGGGTGAACTGTTTCAAGCTAATACACGAGTTATTAACATATGTTTGAACGCAATAGTCAAATAAACAACCTCCTTTTCTTTCTCTTTTTCTCTAAAGACCAATAGACTTAATGAAAGTGCCAAGCATATTCTGGGAAGAGATGTTATGCAATATGAAGTCTAGCTCAAGATATAATAAAAAAAAATTTGAACCTATCTAAAAAAATATGTCATTTTTCATCTTACTAGTCCAAAAGGTACATATTCCCATTAACTGCTTGTGGAAAATAGAGATGATGTAGGATAAAACTTTTTTTTGGATGAGATGTAACGAAAACAAGGTAAATATTCATGTCGAGCAGAGCCCAATTACCTTCGGCAACTTGTTTCGAGGTTGTTCTTCGAAGCAACTAGACAAGATCCTTCTGAACAATTCAACTTGGTTCTGTTTTGGAGAAGGAAAATCATCAAATATGTCAGTGATCATTGACTCTAAGAAAAGCAGCAAATAGTCAGGACGATGCATACCACATTCCCATTGCGAAAAGAAGCAAAGAAGTTATTTCCCATGTTTTCCTTCATGTCCACCATTCTTTCAGCTAGAGCCTTGACAATTATGCCTAAAACCAGTTAAAGAATCCAGAATAAACAAGAATTTTCTATATCAAAAGAAAGTGGAAACTAGCTGCAAAATAAGAATAAACGATAAGTTTGTTCATCAGTCTTATAAAAGTGTGGTTCATCTGTCTTATATAAAGCATTTCAAAACTAATAGCTCAAGAAGAGTTCTCAAAGATAGTAATTTGCATGAAGATATAAAAGAATGCAAAGAAGCTTGAGACCTTCAATTTTCGTAATTTCATCCTCTGCCGATGATTGTTTTGGACAGGCAGCAGACATTTCCAATCGCCTGCAACTATCAGAATCAATCGTCATAGGTTGTCGTGCTTGAATCCTTCCCCTCGAAGGGGTCAAGAGAGGAGACCTCAAAGGCTTATAACTTCCAACGCCACCAGTCATTTGCTTCCACTCATGGTATGCTTTAAGTTCCAAAATGCAATCCACAACCTTTGTTGATGAACCCGCCTCTATATTATCCTAAGAATGCAGAAAATGAATTGAAAAATTGTTATCTCATTCCAGCCTCCATTTCATTATAAAACTTACAAAGAAGACAAAATTAATTAGCTATAATTTTACCCTTTCAAAAACAGATGCCTCAAAAGCTGGTAGCTTTAGATCTTCCACAGCTACCAAAAAGTTCCTAATGTTCTCAAAATATTGATATGCTGGCAATGGCTGAGAATCCCACATGATTAAATGCGAAGGCGTGTGGTTTTCTACAACCTAAAAATAAGTACCACAGTATAAAAACAATAACGAATGAATAACAAATGTTGCATAAAGAGCTGCTTTTTTTTGCATACTAGAAAGTAATGTACCTTTGGAACTGATCCTGGTTGAACTTTGTTAATTAAATTGCAAAGAACCAAACCATTTCTCAAGCAAGAAACAAACTCTCTCTCAGAAGGCTGGCTTGATATACCTAACGGTCCGACGAAACATTCTAACCAGTGGGTCGCTTGATATCTCCTCAAAGCTACATTACAAAGAAAACCCCACATGAACTTTATTTACCCAAAAAGGGAAAATAATACACATAACGAAAACTTCATTATAGTACTTATAATCTTTTTCTCTTGGGTCATAGTACTACTTCAATCAAACAGTTAGCACTATGGATAGTGACTATAATACAAAAACAACTACTACTACGCCTCTATTCGAACCAAGTCGGGGTCGACTATATGCAGTGGCGAAGTCAGAAATTTTTTCAAAGGTGTTCAAACTTTAAAGAAGTAAAAAAAAAATCCGACAAAGGGTGTTCAATGTATACCTCTGAAACTAACACTTTACCTATATATAGTGTAATTTTCCGACGAAGGGTGGTCAATTGACTACCTTTACAAGAGTGTAGCTTCGCCCCTGGCTATATGAATCCTCACTAACCATGTTACTACATATTAGCTCATCTCATGCCAATATTATACAAAATAATAATAATAATAAAAATAATAATTATAATTTAAAAAAAACTATAAGTGGTAGAAGTTCTTTATATGGATAGTGAATAAATGAAACCTGCTTCTTCAGCTTTCCTCCAAGCCAAGTTGTATTCATGTCCCCTTCCTCTTCTTGAATCCTCCATTAAAGATCTAACCTTTTAACTCTATCATCCAGAAAAAACCAAAAACAAAAAAAAGGTTAAACACATTTTTTGAACGTATCATTCAAACCCCTTAAATGTAAAACATTTTTTGACACATTTCAAGGAAATCATTTTACCCATAAAAATATATCAATCCTAAAACCCTTTAGTCCCAAATGAACATAATCACAAGAATCTGTCTACAAACAATTACATAAAAAAATCAAGAAAATTAAGATTATACATAACAAAGAAGATTAAAATATAGGAACCCTTCAGATTTTTGAGCTTTACAAAAATTCAAGAAAAATTTACCTAAAGAGTAGTATGACTTCTAAAAACCTTCAGACCCAAATGGATATAATTCCAAAAAACAATTATTAAAAAAAAGTTACTAAACAAAATTCAGAGTATACAGTAGCTATAACATTTATACTATAACGGAATAATATACTTTCTCTCTCTCTCTCTCTCTCTCTCTGAATGTAAAAAAACAAACGTACCCCACAAATTATCACAATTTAAGGAGAAATGAGAGTGAATTTTTTGGAAATTAAAGTTAGAATTTTTGCTTTTTTTGGAGCTAAGAGAAATGTGGAAGATTAAAGTTGGTAAAAATTTAAGGGGAGTTATAATATAATTTACATATGTTTAGGTTTGGATCCGAACCTAAGGCTCCGGTAATGTAACGTTACCAAATTTGAATTCAAATTGGTGGGGTCTTTGATCTAGACCGTTAATTATTGCTACGTGGGATAATCATAGCCGATGATTGGAGTTCATTGAGAAACTAATTTCTTTTGATTAAGATATTGAGATCTTCTTTTTACATATATAGAGCTTTCAAAAGTTTACATCAATCAAAAGTGAAAAAAGGGATCTTTTCCAATTTTAGCATAGATTTGTGTTTGTAACATGTTTTTTCATTTCCAAAAATATTTGTGACAAAATGTTCTTTGCATAGATTGAGTTTTGCGACATTAATCTTCTTTGATTTGACTAATCAAAGATAAAATATTAACGAAATTGATATTATAAGTAAGCCACGAATTTGGATAGAATTAAGTGTTAGAACGGATAATAATTAATTTTTATCTATCACGTTAGGTAAATAAATAGATAGAGTATTGCGACATCAATTGATACCTTTGACTTGGCTGATCAAAAGTGGCTGATAAATATTGATGAAATCGATTTTATAATTTACGGATTTAAAAAGAAGTATTAAGACGTATAATAATTGATTTTCATTAGTTACTTTAGCTAAATAAATTTGATTCAAAATATTTATATCGTTTATTTTCTCGTTCTAATTCCACTATTATTTTTATTTGAAGAAGACATATGATCATTAATTATTCATCTAAGTACAAAAAAATTCATGTAATTGCACAAATCCTCTATTTTACCTATTACAAGAATCTACATTTAATCCATGTTTGACCTATATATATATATATATATATATATATATGAATGACTTTGGAAGCACCCCGTATATCAAAATGGAAATAGAAAATCAAATCAATTGCATCTTATCATTAAAGGAAAAAGAAATATCAATTGCAAAGTAAGTTTGTTTTTCTTGATCGAAATACACATATCCAACTAATTCGAAATTATATTAAGTAGGCACACTTAATTGTAGTCTATTGCAAACTCTTTACTAAGTATTTTATAGTGTCTAATCCACTTAGCCGAAAAAAATAGTGTTTCTTTTTATAACACGACATACCTTTTTGACTATTTTGACTAAATTCAATGTATTATTGTCTCAAGAATATTCCAACCAGTATTTTAAAAGGCGGGGGCGTAAGGTGAGTCGTTTTACATATGTCTCAGTGAGGCGTAAGCCCCAGGCACGGGGCATAAGCCCCATATGTATTTAATTTTTAATATTTTATAAAATAATATAATTACAGTAAATATTTATAAACAGGTAAAATTGCATAAAAATGAATAAAACTATACATATGTGAAACATATATATATATATATATATGTGTGTGTGTGTGTGTGCGCGCGCGCGCGCACGCGCTTCATCCCCACAAAAAACTAGTCAAAACAATCTATTATACGCTACTTAGAAGCTCAAATAACTTGGGTCGAAAAGAATAAGTTTTCTACATGGAGGAATAAAAAGGATGACTAAAACTATACATATGTGAAAACATATATGTGTGTGTGTGTGTGCGCGCGCGTGCGCGCGCGCTTCATCCCCACAAAAAACTAGTCAAAACAATCTATTATACGCTACTTAGAAGCTCAAATAACTTGAGTCGAAAAGAATAAAGTTTTTTACATGGAGGAATAAAAAGGATGACTAACCTGTAATTTGAACTTTGAACTTGCTACTATGAAGGAGAATGTAGTTCTCTTTATATTTGTAAAAACAACAATAACAACAACCCAGTATAATCCCACTAGTGGGGTCTGGGGAGGGTAGTATGTACGCAGACCTTACCCCTACCATGAGGTAGAGAGGCTGTTTCCAATAGACCATCGGCATCCTTCCCTCCAAGAACTCCCCACCTTGCTCTTGGGGTGACTCGAACTCACAACCTCTTGGTTGGAAGTGGAGGTTGCTTATCATCAGAGCAACCCCCCTTGTCCTGTATTTGTAAAAAAATAATTGAATATTCGTTGCTTTTGGGAGATATTAGCAAACTAGCGGACAAGATAAAGAATTGGAAAATACTATGAATTGGGGCATCAATCAATAAAAAAGATCTTGACTTTTAAATTTAATACATTTCAGTTCTTTTTTAAAACTTTTGAGTAATTACCAAGCTGAATTTTGAGAATTGGGGTATTATATGAAGTACTTATTCAACAAATTTTATTATAATTTGAAAAAATCTATGGGGCTTACGCCTCACTAAAAAAATGCGCTCCGAACGCCCGGGCGTACACCTCTTGAGATTTCGCCTCACACCATCGCCCTGAGGCGTTTTTGGTGCGCTTCGCCTAGAAAACGCCTTTTAAAACACTGATTCCAACTAACACCATATATTTCCTACAAAAAATCCTTTCAGAATCGTAAGAAGGAGGACTGACCGCTCGTTTGGTACGAGGAATAATGAATAATTAATTTTAGAGTTTAATTTAAGTTGAGTTTATCCCATATTTAGTTGAGATAAAATCGCGGTATAAGTATAACTAATTTCAAGAATAGTTATCTCAAAATTATAATGTTATTTTTATTTTTATGGGAGGGTAGAATTGTTTAGGTTTTGTTTTTAAGATGAAATAGTCTTAAAATGAGGGTGAATGGGAAATGGAGGGAAAATAAAATTTTTGAGTAAAATTTTAAGTTTCCCCCTCTTGACAATGAGACATTGTCCCATATTAGAAGAGGAAGAGATTTTTGGTGGGTATATATATAATTGCTCTTCTTGTAGCTCTTAAAGAGTTAAGAAGAAAGCAAGCCTCGCGCCGTCGTCGTCGTCGCTCGCTCGGCTCGGCTTCGGCTTCGGCTTCGATTTCGGTAATGCTCTTCCCACCATGATTGTGCTTGCTCCACAAACAAGCTAATGCTTGCTCCACCATGGAGGGTGGACGATTGTTCTTCTTCAACACTGGTTGTTATATATATGTGCTGCAGTTGTTGAAGAAAGACACACAACACACAACACACAATACACAAGACTGAAATCGCTCAACAGATTTGGCAATACATTGCACTCCTTCCTCTCAGCATTTTCATACGATTTTCTGAGTTTCTACTCATTCGTTCTGCATTATTTTTTTAACTTCAAACAAAGCAACTGTAAGTGTGATTTGCTACCGAACTTTGTGTTCGCTGAAACACTGGGGTTTGAAGTACCGCTACACCAGTGT